AGTTCTCATCTTTCGTGCCACTGCAATGTACAGTTCACGTGCGTACTCCTTAACAGAGCGCGTGTCGACCGCCATGTTCCGTCGCGCCTGACGCACCAAGTACCTCACAAGTAATTTTTCTGTCTTGAGAAGCACCTGGTTGTGAAAATACTTGATCATAGAAGCACCTGTAGACTTTGTGATCTTCATGTGCTCCTTTATCTTGGCTGCATCCTTCTTTATTGTTCGAATCGTAGATTCATTCACACCATGCTGGCGCGCCAAATCAACCTGCCTTGTTCCTTTCTCCAACTCTTGGATGATGGTATACTTCACCTCGTAGCTTAAGGAACGTCGTGTCTTCTTTGGCTTAGTGCCGCTGGGTCCAGGTAAGGAAAGGTTTCTCTCTGGGGGTGGTGGTCCGGCGGAAGCCATTTTAGAGAACAATGGATGCACGTTTACACGGTCTGGCGTGGAGGGATGAAACTGGCGCGGCTAGGTCAAGGATCATCTTTCTTCCCTCCCTCCCTCCCCCGGGTGGACACGTCATAATACTTTAAGCCAATTACAGCTAGCAGCAGAGAGGGGTAGGGATGCATGGCCAATCACAGTCCGATACGTCATATGACGTCAGTGATAACGCAACAAAGACACACACTGCGCAACCTTACCGCGCGGCTTGCCCAAGTGGAGGGAGGAGGAGGGAGAGGCGAGAGCACAGGCAGGCAGGCGGGTGGGGCGAATCTAAAAATAGCGTCGCGCCGGATACTCTCTGCGTAATGGGGTTCACGCACCGCGTAATGTGAGCACGTTAGGTTCTGGCAAGGCACCGTGTTAACGTGGAAACGCGGAATGTGGGACCGCGTAAAGTGAGGGTTGACTGTATTATTTTTGGCTCATATATGTAACTTTATTCATTTATTGAAACTCATTTACATGCACACACTGTTCTAAGGACAAAGCTGAACTGTACATGTAATCAGAATAATGTACAAAATGTTTACTAAAATTGTTGTCTAGTGCAAACTATAGCATGTTTACATTCAAATTAATCACTATCTTATAAGAATTCCAGCAATGTAAATTATATTCTTCCCGGTCACATCTATAAAATTGTATAAGCAAAAAACAATTACTCAATCTAAAGGACATAAATAAATAAATTAGTACTTCACCAGACCTTGGCCTGTCAAACATGTCACTGTCACCCCTCCCTCCCTCCCAACCTCCCCCCCCCCTCCTCCCAGCAAACATTTCTGGTTATACAATAGGCTTTAAGTTTGTATCTTATATAAAATCTCAGACTAAAGTTGGGAGAATATAATTTGCATTGCTGGAATCCTTGCAAGACAGCAAATAATTTGAATATAAACGTCATATATTTTGCACAAAAGATAAAATTTTTGCTCTCTCTAATAAAATTCTTAAATTAGATTTAAAATTTGTATGTCTAATGCAAATTATAGCTTGTTTATACTCAAATTAATCACTATCTTACAAGAATCCCAGCAATGTAAATTATATTCTCCCAGGTCATTTTACTGGCAATTTATAAGAGAGAAGCTTAGTCACTTAAGGACTGATAAATAAACACACATTAGACCCTGTGGTTCCAACTGTCAAATGTATCACCTCACTTCCCGCTCCTCCTTCCCCACGCTCCCTCCCTCCCTCTCATCCATCTGCCCAGCCAGGGTTTTAGGCTTACAGTTTTTATCTTATATAATATCTCAGACTAAAGTTAGGAGAATATAATTTGCATTGCTGGAATCCTTGCAAGACAGCAAATAATTTGAATATAAACATCATATATTTTGCACAAGAGATAAAAATTAATCACCTGTATCACATTACAGTAGTGATTTAAGAGTTCTAGTGTATATGTACAGGTGTATAATGTGGATGAGACTGGATTAATTTGAAGAAAATTCCAAATAGAACAAACATTACCTAAGAGGAGAAGAGTCACACTGCACCGACAACATGCTCCTTTTTTAAAACAACCTAATGACTGCTAACTGGGATCTTGTCTATGCCTCCGACATCCCTAACGTAAGCAGCTGCAACTTCTCTTGCATCTTCAATGCTTGCTTTGATAAATGCTTCCCGCTCAAGACTAAGTCAGTGAAAACTGTATCCATTTCCAAACCCTATATCAAACTCCAAAGGAAATTTGTAAAAGGACCCATAACTTTCGGTGATGCTTACCGAAGTATCAGAAATAGAGTAACTCAAGCAGTTAGAAATGCTAGACGTAGCTATTATACAAATAAGCTCCAGTCAGCATCAGGCGACGGTAAGAAAACCTGGAATGTCATAAATTCTATTCAGAACAGGAACACTCAGCCTTCGGCCCCCCCCACTCAGTTTATATCATCAATGATTCAGTTGTAATGGAACCCTCCCTCATTGCCAACCACTTCAATGAATATTTTATTAATGTTGGCAAAAATCTTGCAGAGCATCCCTGATCACCATGAGGAATTTAGAGCCTACCTGCAAAACAGACAGCAAAATGAGCTGTTCTTATCCCCTGTCTCAGCAGATTAATTACCGTACTGGCCATTATTAAAATTTCCAAAGATGCAGCAGCAGGCAAAGACAATATACCAATGAGTATCATTAAGAAAGTAGCCCACTTATTACTACCTGTTCTCCTACACATTTGTAACTCCTCCTTCACTAGTGGTGTCTTTCTGGATAAACTAAAAATTGCTAAACTTCACCAAACATATAAAAAATTTGGGGACAAAGTTCTCTTCAAGAATTACTGCCCCATATCAGTCCTCCCAGCCTTGAGTAAGATACTGGAGAAGCTAGCATGTAGTAGACTAAATTCCTTCCGCAATACCAATAACATCTTTACAGACTCCCAGTTTTGATTTAGAGCTAGGTCGACTGAGAGTGCTCTGCTATCCTTTACTAATGACATCTTAAATTCCTTAGCTGGCAGTCAGTTCACAGTCGGTATATTCATGGACTTCTCTAAAGCTTTGAACATTACGGCATTAAGGGCCTGTCCCACAATTTTTTCTTCAAACAATGCACTCAGCTAGTAAGTGTTGAGTATATTTATTGCCACTTAGCTAATTAGTGCCCGTCTACACCAATTCTGAATGATTCATAGAGATGTGGATTTACTTCCATGACAATAACTTACCTTTTACCCATAATGTCAGGGAAAAGGCCTGTAAAGGATATTGCTAACAGTGTGGTGGAGCAGTTGAGGAAAAGCATCAGTATGGATGTAAAATTGCAGGTCATAAAACAGGTGGAGGCAAGTAAACACCTGGTTGATAGTGGTAGTAACTTGGGTTTGGCTACATCAACCTTCTGAACCATTCTCAAGAATGTAGACGAGATAAGTGGCTTCTCTAGTTCATCACTGCACTAACAGCAACCAAGACAAGTTGTTTAAGGAGCATTTTACTGGAAAAGTTGGAGAGCCAGTTGGACTACTCAAAGTAGGAGTAGCAGGATTGTTAGGATCAATGGCCAAGGGTGTTAAGTCTTAGCAAACTCAAACTGAATAAACTACAGTAGTGAGAATATAACTCACAGTGTTTCTTATATCCATCATTATTAAAAAAAGTTTAATCCATTAATAAAATGTTTTAATACATTTATGATGCATACTGTATGATTATTAGTACCATTAATGATGCCCAGTGGAGGCCTCATATGTTGCTCACGGGTAAGAAAAGTGTTGCCGTTAATACATTCCATTGGAACCATCTTATAATGACCTCTCACAAGAGTTGTTTCTTTTAGTGCTCCATTTTCCAGGAAAGCATCAACAGCATTTTAAGAGGTATGCATATACAACCTGAATGTCATGATACCCAGAATATTCTTCCTCCATTTGAAGTGTGTAAGTGCGAGATTATCAAGAGTTTACACTCAACAAGTAATACAGGAAACCAATGATATAAAAGTACAGTAGTGTCTTTGTCTCTCGGTACTTCTTGGTCATATGTCCAGTGGCGCATGACCTTCCAAAATATTGTATCAGAGGTATTCTGCAGGTACAGTGCAGTATCCCAGTTTTCTTCTGTTTACTGTACTGTACTAACAATGAACCTGAAGATGAAGGACAAACTCATTATGATCAATGGAGGAATAACACAACTCAATGGATTCCTCCCCTTATCAAAGCTGCAAATTAAAAAATATATATTCAAATATTTTCATAAATACAGTGGACCCTCCATTAATGAGCGGTTCAATTTACGAGATTTCAGTTTACGAGTTACCTCCCGTAAGGACTTTCAGTTCTATTAACATGTAAAAATTCTATTCACGACAGCCTTACGTGAAACACGTTTTGGTGCTCGCATCAGCTGACCGACTCGTCCGCCAATAATCTGTTCTATTTTTACCTTTGTTTCCAGTGGAGTAAACATAGAGAAAGTTGTGCTCTTAAATATTTTTGCATTTTTTACATTCAAATTATTGGTCATTCTGAAATTTAGTTAACATATTGATAATATACAGTACAGTGTAGTATTGGTTTAAGTAAAAAAAATCTGGAATTAGCTAAATAAATTGCAGTGAACTTAAAATTTTATTGATGAAATGATCAAGTATGGGTCTAAAGAAATCTCGGAAGGCAATTTCAATTCAAGTGAAACAAAAAATTATTAAGAAATACGAAGAAAGCATTAGAACCAATGCACTCTGAAAGGAATATGGCATGTCATCATGGACTGTGTATACAATCAGCTGTTTGCGCTGTCGCTAGGTAGACAAAGCCGCCGGGAATGTTTTTTAAATTCTATTACCGGCATAAAAATCTTTGTATGTACTTTTTAATTCATTTTAAGGGAATTCTGTGAGTTGGAACCAATTACCCAATATTTCATTGAAATAATAGATTCAGTTAACGAGTGACTGTGTGGAACCAATTGTGCTCGTTAATGGAGGAACCACTGTACACCTAAGGTATAACTAGCATAACCATTTACAGTATACATAAACTGTAATTTCATTTTCATTATGCAATTCAGTAAGGTCCTACTTACCCTTGCAGTAGTTGTTTGCCAAGTCTGAAATGCTTCATAAGCAGAGTTAATAGCTGCCTCAGTGTCTGTTACCTCCATGTCAGGCACACTGGCAATCACCTGTGAATAAAGAAAAAAAAAAAAACATGAAAGCACCAAACTTCTAAACAATCATGTACAGTACAGTAATACAGTACTGTAAATCTGAGGAGCACAGAACCAAAGTAGGACAAGTGCCAGTATGCCTAAAACACAATACAGTAGTACCCCGATTTACGACGCGGTCAATTGAACCCACAGGGTACCGCGGCGGAAAGTGAAAACCGCGTAAAGTGAACAACAGAACATATGGGATTAATTCCAATAGAGACTGGCCCGACCCCCAAACTCCACTTTTTTCCGACACAATACCTATGTTGTAGTAAAAATAACATCTAAATTTTATGATGGTATGCTCACACACTTAATATTTAAGAGAAATACAGTCGCCAGGTTAATTGTCCATTCAAATAATGGACTCAAATCCCCCCCCCCCCTTCCCAGCTCACTGGCCCCTACCTCTCTGGGAAATGATTGGGTGAAACACTAGATTTTAACATTTAGTAATAAATAATACCTCAGACTAAAGTTAGGATAATATAATTGACATTTCTGGATTCCTTGCAGGTCAGGGAATATTTTGAATGTAAACTTCATATATTTTGCACAAAAGATAAAATATTTGCTTTGTGTAAACCAAATTATTACATTAGATCTAAAATTTGTATGTCTAATGTAAAATCCATGATGTTTATATTCAAAATGATCATCATATTGTAAGAATTCCAGCAATGTAAATTATATTCTGGTCCAGTAATTTGTATGAATTTTATGAGCTAAAACAAATATCTTCAGTTAATAAAAAAATATATATTCTTCACGACACTATCTGTCAATCAAAGTACCCCAACTTGCCTCCCCCCTCTTCCAACCGCGCCTGATGGTCGGTCGGTCCCAACCCTCCCCCCACCCCTCACCTTCCCTCCCTACCAGAGAATGTTGGTTGAAAAACTAGATTTTAACTTTTAGTAATAAATAATACCTCAGACTAAAGTTAGGATAATATAATTGACATTTATGGATTCCTTGCAGGTCAGGGAATATTTTGAATGTAAACATCATATATTTTGCACAAAAGATAAATATTTGCTTTGTGTAAACCAAATTATTACATTAGATCTAAAATTTGTATGTCTAATGCAAAATCCATGATGTTTATATTCAAAATGATCATCATATTGTAAGAATTCCAGCAATGTAAATTATATTCTGGCCGGGTAATTTGTATGAATTTTATGAGCTAAATAAAAAAATAAATAAATTATACTTCACGCGTATATGAGTAGATGTACCGCGGAAAGTGAAAGTCCGGTTCTGGCAAGGTACCGCGTAAATGAGAAATCGCGGAAACGGAAAGTGAAACCGTGTAAAGTGGGGTAATACTGTATACAGTATATGATGTCTTCCACTGGTATCAATTAAAACTGCTCTAACAATGCTGTAATGAGTGCTAAATTTTCTTGTTGTATATTGTTCCTATAAATCAATAGGTCAATAAAAATAAATGTCATTGAGAAGAATTATAAAGATTAAATTTTAATTGTCAAAAAAAAATAAGATTATGCAGTAAGAGCACAATATAGCTTGTGTTGCCATCTCAGGATCCTTGAATTAGAGTATTCTTGGGAAAAAATCATGTATTTTTGGTGTGGTTTTTTATAATCAAAACATGTCATTTCAGCAAAAATATTACATTTCCATATTTATTTCTGAGAATATATTCAATCAGTCACAGTTAAGGTAAAATATACTTGTGATGTAATATTTTAATAAAAATACCAGGTATTTAGAAATACGTTATCGTAGTTTTCTTTTGTTTCAAATTTAATTAACAAAGATTGATGTTTCAAATGTAATGAACAAAAATTTATGTATCTATAAATAAACTTTAAAAAGTGAATACTTTATATTTTACATCATCCTATGCTACCATACCATGGATTTGGCTACTTTGGGCTTGTTATGATGACGCAAGAGATCTGCCCTGGCAACTGTACCGACACTCACAGCTGGTGGTGTGTCGTTTCCATTGTTTACTGGTAAATATTTTTCAACCCAACGAAACTATTACCGTATATCTCGGCCCACACGAAGGAATTTGAACAAAAATAAAATCAGCCCAAAGTTAGGGGGTCGTCTTAAGCACCAGAGATAAAATTCTTACCTCTTAAATATTGCGGTTTAGCGTGTCAAGAGTGGTGATGGAAACATGGTAAACCACTCACAAGGTCCTACCACTAATTACAGACAGACCCCGACTTACGACTGCTACGACTTACGACCGTCGGGACTTATGACCGCCGCAGATTTTTTATTAAAAAAAAAAAAAAAAAAAATTTTTTCCTTCAAATGACACGCATTTTCTATACCGAAACGTTTCCAGTTAATGTAGTCTTCATGTATAATTAGAAAATTATGGGGGCCCCATGTGCATTCAGCTGACTACATTAAAGGTAAGTGCTCAGTCACACTGTAACCATTCCTTATTATTTATTACTTTCACTGTACTGTATCCATTCCTCATTATTCATTACTTTACTGTACTGTATTTCATTGTAGATTATTTATTTAAAAAATAAATAAGTAAAAATAAATTTATATCTATGTCGGACTTAGACCTGGATTTGGGTCCCTAACCTAAATGATGGGGTCTATCATTTATACTGAAACTTACGTTTGGGAAGCTGGATTAAAATGAAGATTACCGGTATATTAAAATAATAAAAATGTATTATAAACCTGTCTAACATACCGTAAAAGAACAATATACCCCGGTAATAAACACAGCTGCTATCATCCCCCCCCCCACCCCCATTTGCCAGTGACAAGAAAGGGAAAGTGACCTTGACTGTGACCGCCTGTGGCTATTTTTAGCCGTCCTTGTGTTCGGAGGTGGTCAGTAATGCATATCTGTATATTTACTGATATAATACTTATCTCCTATAAATAATTCATTTAAAATTTATTTTTTTACAAAGAATATTCAGTAAATGACTGCGTTAATTCTTGAAACTACCGACAGTGGTAAATTTAGGATGAGAAGTAAATAAGAATATGGGGGGGCCAGGGGGTGTTTTTTTTTTTTGGGGCAAAATATACGGATTCTTAACATTCAATGGCATTCTGTTACTCAACCCCACGCATGTTAAGACACTGTAAATAGAGAAGAGACAATTCGGGTTTTAAGAGTAAAACCCTATACAGTGATCCTCGGTTAACGAATTACCTTCCATAAGATTCTTCACTTCGGTTAACGAAAGCAACTCTTCGATTAATCTTAATTCTTATGAGCGCCCTCAACATGTTTTTGCTTGCTCACTACGTCGATTAGGGTCCGCCAATACAGTAATCGGTTCTAGGGGCTTAAATTTTACCATTTTAGTAAATATCAAGAAGGTTGTACTATTCAAATCATTTTAAGTTTATTTTAAATTTTTAGTCATTTTAACAATTATTGAACATAATTGAGGCTACAGGAACTAGTTTTATGCACGCCAAACAGTCACCAACACACCAAGCTTGGCTGTTTGTTTACAGCTTCAGAGGAAGGAAACATCTTGCTTGAGACTCTCTTTCAACATAAACTTTTTTCTGTGTTTCCAGTCAAATTATTGGCTTGAAATACATTTTACATATTGATATTACATAGTGACCTCTGCTAATGAATCTCAATCTGTTCCAGAAGAAAGTCGTTTGTTAATCGAAAGTCATATCGAAACTATTACGCCATTGCTTTTGCACTGGTTCCAGCTCACCGAAAAATTTCTAAATTCAACAAAAAATGGTAGAAAAAGTTCACTTTACTTTTGAGGTGTGTATGTAGAAGGCTCCCTGGATGATGATGACGGCGATGGGATTTAGAATGGGGGTGGAGGAGATGAAGAAGAGAAGGCATTGGGTGGAAGAGAAGTCGCCCATGGTGCCATTTCCTTCACCCATAAAATTTTAGCTCTGGTGTAATTCAAGATTATTTCTTTTAAATCAACATCGCACTGGTATTGCGTATTGTCAATATATAAAATATATTTCAAAATGACCAATAATTTGCTTGGAAACACAGGAAAAAAAGTGTTTAGTTGAAGAGAGTCTCAAGCAAGATGTTACCTCCAGTGAAAAACAGAGAGACTAATGTCATTGCTGTGTTAAGAGGCTGGATGTCACAAGATGAATGAATTCACTTACTCATCTATGTTCACAATTGTTAAAATGACTAAAAATTGAATATTAAACTTTTAAAAATTATTGAATGGTATAAACTTCTTTGATATTTACTAAAATAGGCGAATTTAAGCCTAGGAACCGATTAATGTATTGGCGGACTGATACTAAAGCTGGTTGCCCGTTAGTGTTTAAACATGTTGAGGTCGGGTTCAAGAACTTCAAGTAACCGGAATTTTTTTCAGTAAACTCAATTGAAGATCCTGCGGAAGGCAATGTTAATTCCAAATTACGTTAACCGAGGTGTTCGCAAACGAGGGTCACTGTATAGCGCAGTAGTCGCTGATTTAAAGAAAAATAATTCAAATTACAACTCCGGGTGAACTAAAATTTTATGGGTAAATGGCAGCATGGGGTGACTTCTCTTCCAATTTCAATGCCTTCTTTCTCCCTTCTCCTCCACCCCAATACCCCATCATCATCATCATCAACCAGGAGCTTCGCAGCACACCTCAAAGTAAGTGTACTTTACTGCATTTATTTTTCATTTGTATGTAATTTTCAGAGTTAAAACCACTATCTAAAAACCCATTGAAACAATGGTTTCTTGTTAACTAATTTTTCGGTTAATGAGCAACCTACTGGAAATCTAATTGTGCTCGTTAAACTTCCAGGGAACACTGTATACTTTTACATGTTCCAGCCTCATTAACCCAAAGGAATCAATGCAGCAGCGCGGGTCAGTTCAGAGGGGAAGACAGCTGGTTTGTGGGTCAGGCAGCAAGGGGGAAGTGGGTAATAAAATGTTAGAGTAAGTATATCGCACTAACATAGTGAAGTAGAACGCCGATATAACATGAGAT